CTTTTTTGAAAAACGATGAAAAGTGCAAAAAAAAAAGAAAAAAAGAAGAAGAAGAAATTGATAGGGTAAAATATCAAGGTGCTCTACATTAAAAATAATGATCCTTGGTTTAATTATCTTTCAAATACAGTTTGGATTTATTTTATCTATTTTTTTTATAACCCATCACCTTAGCTTATGTGACATCTTTTAAAAGTTCATTTTTATCGAATGTGAATACTCAAATTGGAGAATCATGAGTTGAACTAAGGTAGGTTTGCAATTGGATTGTTTATGATTTTAATGTCATTGATGGATCAAGTGGAAAAGAAATAAAAAAAAAAAATGAAGAAGAGATGTGCAAAAAAAATGAAAAAAAAATGAAAACTTAAATTAAAAACCTAAGAGGTCAGTTTAAGTAAAAAGGAAACCTGAGAAATAACTTCATTTGAGGATCCTAGGAATTTGAAAGATAATTGGTTCAAAAATTGAGAATATTGATGGAATATGTTTTTGAGAAAAAAATTGACTTAGTGTTTCTAATTGTAATATCTCATTTAAATAGACATGGTATTTTTGCTTTTTGATTTGTTCTTGACCAAATTTCCTTTTGATATGAATACCCAATTTTCTTGTGCTTTACCAAATATGCATACCTTGAATGAATTGAGAAAATGTATCATATTTGTCATAAATTAAAATAATGATAAAGTGAATAACAATGTTTGTAAAAGATTTTTTTTCATTCCTTTAAAAGAAGTCCAGATGATTGAAGTGAAAGAAGCTTGAGAAAATAATTTGAAAAGGGCAAATAAGGTGACCCAATTATGAACACAATGATGAATTGGTTGATATAACCTGTGAGTTGGGATCAAATGAGAAAAATAACATAGATCAATTGATAGAGTTTGTTGTAAGATTGTTAGTATTGATAGGATAAGAAGGAATAGTGGAGTCTTGAGAACCTTACTATCATAATTGAAATTTCATGGCATTGATTTAGTGGCATCTACATTACATATATTGTATTTACATTGTATATATATATATATATATATAATTTGATGAACATTTTAAATCTTTGATAATTGCATTTGCATCATGATTAGTGCATGCATTTGCATTATGTAGAGAACATTTGAATCATAAAATAACATTTGAATTTGAATCATTTAGTAAGAATCTGGATTATTGTTTTTGCATCATTTAAAAGGTATTTGCATTATTATCATGACATTTGTTGCATACAAGAATTTGACTTTGATTGAAGAAAAATTTTTGCTTTTGAATCCTTGAATGAAAAAGATCTTTCATGATGAGATTTCTTTTTACAAGGAAAACTTTCTAAATTTTTAAAGTTATAAAGCCTTTGTTTAAAAGAGCTTTTTTTTTAAAAAAATATTCATGATTTATTAGACTTCTAGGCATAATCACTAAAGTTTTTCAAATGAGAATCTTTAAAATTTAGAATCTTTAAAATTTTGAGTGTGAAACCCTAAAATTTTTCCAATATGAATCATTGAAATCCTTAAATTTTTTGAATGAAAATTTTTAACTTTTGGGTGTAAATCTCTAAATTTTCAAAAGAGAATATTTGAATTTTAGAGGTGACGCTTGAAATCTTTTATATGAATCCATAAATTTTCAAATATGAAATTTTAAATTTTGTATGCGAATCACTAATGAAAATCTTTTGAATATAATCTTTGAATCTTGTATGTGAATTATAATTTGAAAATTCTTGCGAATCTGAGTCTTTACGAATTGAAAATTATTGTGAACTAAATTTTTTGTGAATTTGAAAATTCTTACGAAACTTTAAAATATTGCAAATTTGAAACTTTTTGCGAATTTGAATTCTTGCAAACCTAAAATCCTTGTGAATCTGAATTATTACGAATTTTTTATTTTTATGAATCTGTAAATTCTTGCAAACCTGAAATTCTTACAAATTTGAAAATCTTGTGAATCTGAAAATCTTTATGAATCTGAAACCTTTGCGAATTTGGAACCTTTGCAAAACTTGAAACTTTTGCAAAACTTGAAATCTTTTACGAATTTGGAATCTTTACGAAACTTGAAATCTTTGTGAATCTAAAACCTCTAAGAATCTTGCAATTTTTATGAATCTTGAAATCTTTCAATTTTTTTATGGAACCTTGAATTTTCAAATTGTGAATATTTGGTTTCAAGCTAAAATTTTGAATATTTTTGGACCTAAGCAAAATAGATGTGTTTTCACATTTCCCAATTAAAGTTTTTAAAGTTGTTTCACCTCTATATAGAGGAGCACAATTTTTAATTTAAAAAGTTATTAAGTCTTTGTTTAGAGAAGTTCTTTAATAGGTTTCGAAAGTTACATACCTCTATTTAGAGGATTCTTTAAAAAAAAAGATTGATATGAGCTAAACATAATGAGTATCTACATATTTGCGCAATTATTATTCCACAAAAAATGTGCAAAGATAAGTAGTTGTAGACAACCTATTTTGTTCGAGAATTTTTTTGAAATAAAAGCATTTGATTGTAAATTGGACCTTGATTGGAAAACTCCAGGCCCAATAAGATAAAAGCTCAAATTTTTAATTTGATTTTAATTTAGATTTAGATTTTTTTTTAATTTAGTTTTGATTTTAATTTTGGTAATTTATTTTGGTTAAAAAAAGAGAAGAAAAAAGTTAAAAGTCAAAAGTAAAAAAAAGTCAAAAGTCAAGTAAAAAAAGTGAAAATCATACAAAAATGAAATAAGAAAAAGGAAAAGGAAAAAAAAAACATGAAATCTGAAAATCGTGGGAATCAAATTTGCAAATTATCATAGGACTTTTTAATTTGCACGAAAAAAAAATTATAAGAATCAAATCACAAGAGATCAATCACAGAAGAAAATTAATGATTCAATTGAATTATTCTTTCCAAATTAAATGGATTCAATCCCTATAAACAGAGGAACAAAAACCACACAGGAGCAAGGAATAGAGACAAAAGGCATAACAAATTCCAGCAATTAGCTTTTTGGGTTTAGGTTTTAGTTTTAAGAATTTTTATTTTGATTCTGAATTTTGGGTTCTTATGAATGATTCTAGGATTTTGAAGATTGGTTCAATTCTTGGTTGTTTAAAAAATAATTTAGCCTTTTGTTTTGTTTTGTGGAATCTTAAATCTTTGGATTAGAATCTGTTTAGTTGATTTGTAGGATTTTTTGGGAATTGTTGAACTTTTCTAGGTTTGGTGTTTTTTTCTATAAATTTTCTAGGTTTTTTGGGTTTATTGTTTGAATTTTCAAGTGAAGTTTGGTTTTTCTGATGGCTTTCATGGGCACCGAAAGATTTGACGGTGGTCAGGATCTAGGTTTATAAGTTGTTTGGGTTTGGCTTGAATTTTTTCACGTCATTTGAATTTTCTAACATTGACATCTGGAAATGTGATCAATTTTTGAAAAGGGTTGTAGTTTTCGGTTGGGGCATTTTAGAGAGAGGTCAGAGCGTTTTGGGCTTAGATAAAGAAATAGAAAGGGAGTTTTGCAAAAACTAAGTGAATTTTTTACTTTTATACCCAAAGTGATACGAAGCTATTTTGCAAAGCCTGACCCGAGTTCTAACCTGTGTGGATGGTGAGTAAACCCGGTGAAGACCTAACTAGGTCGCAAGGTTTGACTTTTTTTTTATTTTTATTTTCTAATTTTTTGTTTTTGCTTTTCTGTTTTATTTTTTTATTTTTTGTTTATTATATATTTATCATAGTTGAGTTAATTAAGTGAAGGAAAAAGAAAAAACTTTAATATTAACTATAATATATATATATATATTGCATGTTTTTATATTATTTGCATGATATGATTTTATATTTATTGCATGATTCTATTATATTTAATTTGATTACATGATCATTAATATATTTAATTGCATGATTATTATATTTATTTGTGTAATTATATTTGATTGCATGGTTATATATTATTTTGTTTGTGTGATTTACATTTACATGATTGATTAATATCTGCATGATATTTTATATTTTGCTTGATATTTTATTACATGATTTGCTGCATGATATATTATATTACTACATGATTATTGTAAGATATATTATATTATTGCATGATATTTATATTAATGCATGATATTATTTGCATGATAATTTTTAATTATTTTAATTGATTTTTTTCTTTCAAATTTTTAAAAAAGGTTTTGAAAAAAATAAAAATTTCTAATCCTATCAAACTATTGGAGGATTTAATTATTAAATTAAGTCTTACCAAACTATTAGAAACCTAATGGATTTTATTGAAAAAATATATTTTTTAAAATCCTCTCAATATATTGAAGGATAGTTCTTGACAAAAAAATTTATCAAAATATTAGAATATATTTATGAAAATAAATTATTTTTTTATAAAAATTAAATTTTGATTGCTTAACATAAATAAATTTTTTTTTCACAAAAATTAAATGAATTCGACGATAAAGCTTCTTCATAATGAGATATTAGTTTTCATGAATACTAATGAAGTAAAAAAATCATCTTAAATTGTTACCAAACTATTAGAATAATTTTAAGATTAATTTTAAATAATTAAATTATTTTGTAAATTATAAAAATATTTTAAGACTTGAATAATTTGAAATCAAATTAATATTATCTTTTGGATAGGCGTTAGGAGAGTATTATAATCTTCCTCACGTGTAATTGCATTCTTGAACTTAAAATCTAATTTTGTAGATTAAAATCTACTATTTAAAAATATTTAAATCAATCTTAAGACTTTTTTTTAAATAAAATAGATTAAGTTAGATGACTACTTATATCTAAATAAAAAAGATTAGAAACGACTTTTAAGTCTATTTCTAATAATAAGTCTTTGAATCAATTCGTTACCACACTTAAATTTTTTTTAACTTTTTGAATTGAAATGATTAAAATTAAAATTGATATTTTTATTCAAATTAGTATGGATTTAACTTTGATCTAAAAGTAAAATATATATATTATAAAATTTTATATAATTTTAAAAATAATATTCCATTCATTATTCTGCACTGCTTTTGGTTGATCATGTACAGTGATAATAGAGCTCATCTTTATGCTGCCGTTATGCATATTTCAAAATATATAACCAAAAACACAACAAACACTTATTCCAAGATAAAAAGAAATTCACAACACAATTAATTCGGATATGTGGCTGATGTCTTACTCCTGTCCTTTTGGTATTAAACAGTAGTAGTAATGGTTGTACTTCTTCACTATTTGGAACAAACCATTGCACTCGCATTGCTAATGTTAAACATAAATGCAGAGATGCAACACTTTTTTTTTTTTTGGTATAAAAAGATCTAAAGAAGAGATTGTAGGCATTAGAATTTGAGCTCCAGATGTAATAGATGTTATCTCTTAAAAATAATTATATGAATCAACTAAATTAAACTTTAAGTTCAAAATGCTACACCTTTATTCACAGCTAAATCACATATACAAGTGGCCATGCTACAAGAATGACGCACCAACATTGTTAATTTTTTTACATAAAAGGCTACGGTCCATGGGTAAAGAAAAGAGTTGTAGGTGTTGGTATTTAAATTCCAATCCGTTGGTTGCTACCTTTTAAGAATTATTGTATAAATTAATTAAATTAAGCTCCGAGATGATCAACATTGTTATTTTACGATAGCCATAGGTTACTAATGAGTTTCGCCGATCAAATACAGCTTTTGTCCATCATTAATCATGTCTACATCAAGAATTTTACCTGCATCTTGTGACAATATACAAGAACCACCTGGAAAGTCTAGCTGCTCAGCAGCAGTTCTAACAAGCTCTTCAATCGTGGGAGGGATCCATAACACAATTCCATGTCTTCTCAGATCTTTAACATCCCATGGGTGGAAAGGAAAAACAGTGCATTTCTTTCGGTGCATTTTATCTGGAATTAGCAACAGAAATTCTTTCATTATCATACAGACATGGGATTACTTGAGCAGCAGCCATTAGACTGCAAATTAACTTCCTGAAAGGTAAAGAAAAGAAAAGGAATAGAAAAGGCAGTCACATTTTAAGTTTTTTATTGTATAATTAGATTTCTTTTCAGCAGGTAAATGGGGGTAATCAAGAGAAATCTTTTATAATCTGGAATAGAAACTGATAACCAGGTTTATTAGTGCAACTTTGATGTTCTAATGTTTAGTAACCACTGGTAGATCCAATTTCTGACTATAAAGTGAAATTCGAAATTTAATTCAGTTGATTTATGTAACTATGTGATATGTAGAGGTCTAAGTTTCAAATCTCAACATCTAGAACCCTTATTCTGTCCCATGTTGCCATTTCCTAGGTAAAATAAAAAAAACTTTCGACTACAAAGTGGAAACAAATCAAACTTTACCAATGAAGAAAAATTAAAGGTAAAATTACATGCACACAATGGAAGTAAAGGTAGAAATCATATATACGTAAAGAAAAGAGAAGGGGGAGGGGGTAGAAGTAGAATAATCTCATCCCTGATTTTTTTTCCCTCAAAGGTTGAAAAGTATTTCCATTTTATAATGGACGTAAACCAGAACACTCCCTAATGGACGTAAACCAGGCTACTCTGTTGGAACTTCAGTAAGAATATTACCTAAACCAGGCACCTACTAAAACTCGGTTGGAACTTCAATAAGAATATTTCCATACCGTCTTTAAATTCAGTTCCACTTCTATTAAAAATGTTAAACCAACTGGGACAATTGTTAATGACTTGTTTCATTTACAACAGCCCAGAAAGGACAACTGAATTAATTTCAAATAGGTTTAAACCTTGAGTTACTTACATCCTAAACTTCGAAAAAATATACAAGTTGATATTTGAAAAAATAAAATATATAATTTGCACCATGAACCTTCAAATAATGTATAATTTTAATTCAAATTCTAATATTGTTAATTTAATTAATCTATATGGTATCTAACCAATATAATTTTATTATATGCATATTATTTGTTGAATAAAAATATTAAATATTTTTCAAAACATTCGTTTGGATGTCACGTGATAAAAAATGATTGATAGGTTTTAAACATTTTTATGTTTTAAGTAAATTAAAAAATATATATTTTTAATTTATATTGAAAAAAGATGTTGATAGTAAATGTAGTTAACACATAACTTGATAATATTTACCAAACACTATATATATAAGTTGATATGATTAACGGGATTAGAATTTGAGTTAATATGGTACATAATTTGAAAGTTTTTCAAGTGCAAATTATATATTTTATTTCTTTAGGTATGAATTTATATATTTTTTTCAAAGTTCAAGTACCAAAAGTGTAATTTATTTGTGACTTTCTTCCAAAACACAATATTTCATTGGTGTGACAAGCTATGATAAGTAAATGACATTGGTCAAGTGAAAAGCATTCTTCCATTCCAAATCAAAACTATTCTTCTGAATTTTCTTCGTTAATTTATTTTTTCTTTAACAATTGGTTTGAGCATAATAAATTTGTTCAGCAGCATGTTTTCAAATAATTCCAAGTTTCACTTAGCAAATTAGAATCTGGTCACACAAGTTGAGAAATACCTGTAATTTCTTTCGAACAATAATAAGGGAATTCTGATAGCTGAGTAGATTTTGCATCTTCAAGTAGCTTGATCAAATTCTTGTTGCCACACATCCGGGCTTCATCAAGTGGAGTGTTTCCCCATCTACAAAGAAAAAGCATAAATGCTGAAAAAAACTCAAAGTAATGTGCATGTATATGATGTATGTCTTTACCCTCTAAAGATCTTGAAGGAAAATAAGAAGCAGATGTAAAAACGGAATTAGATAGAAAATAATAGTGAAAATACCATTTTCAGTTAACCCTTGAAAGAAAATACAGCAGAAATGCTGGGAAACAGACAATTACACTAAAGTTTTCAGCTGATAAAGTAGTTGCACACTGCATAGTCAAACCATCTGGTGATTAGTATTGTAGAAAATTACACATAACACTTGAATTTCATATCCTAATTCTAAGGATGTATGCTATATGCAAACTAGTCCCATACACATCCACTATTTGGTTGAAGTAATAAATAATTTTAAAATTAAAAAAAGATTAAAAGAAAAACACATAAAAAAATTACAGTTATCTAAAAGCTTGAATGACAAAAAGTGGAAAGTTCTTTTCTTTTTTTTTTTTGGTTTCCAATGTTGCCGTACAGTTATTTAGAAAGGAGAAAAAACAGACAGAATTTTGAACTATGTGAATCCAAATCCTATTTAAAAGGAAAAGTAAAAATACTAACATATCCTTATTAATATGTATTTTTTATTTGAACTTTTTTTTTTTTTTGGAATTACTCCTAATTGAGCATGTGTTACTACACCAAATTCAATAAGGGATTTTATAGAAAATATAGATATAATAATCAGCAAAAAATGTTTGGAAAAACTAAAAAGAAAAAAAAGATATGATTAAATTGTAACCAAATATAAACAATCAAACAAAAAGTGCAATAAAAACCCTGAAAACAGTAAAAGATTGCCAGTATGTCATTTGGAGCATCAAGAAAATAGATAGTTTACAATTATCTATGAAGCTATGACCAGGTGTTCTTCTTTCAAACAGCATGTATACACTGCAAAGAGGCTGATATGGTGATATATTTACCTGTTAATCCAAATCCAGTTTGGCAACAAACAGCATAACTAGAAGTAAATAACCTTAAATGGATAAGCTAAACATGATCACATTCATAAAAAGTAAGTGAAATGAATGTTTTAAATGTACCTGTCTTTGGTAAAAACACTAGCTCCAGCTTCTATCAAAAGCTTTGCCATCAAATATAAGCCCTCAGAGGAAGCTACGTGAAGTGGGGTTCGAAGGTCATAATCTTTGGAGTTAGGATCAATTCCATTAGACAAAACTCTTTTCAAAAAGTCTGAGTCCCCCTTTGCAACAGCCATGCATAGAAAACTACCAGCATCATCTATGTTTAGCGAAGCTCCTTCCTTAACTAGCAAAGCGGCAAGATGGTCATGTCCATTTTTTATCGCTTCTAGTAAAGGTGTATTCCCGAACTTATCTGTAGAAAAAATTTAATTTATTAGCGCAAGGGAAGATCAAATGGTACAAGACTAGAGTTTAATTAACCAAAATAACATTTAAAAATATTTATAACAGATAATTACCTTTAAGATTGATGTCTACCCCATGTTGAAGAAGGAAACTTGTAATATCATCATGTCCTTTTGATGCAGCAAGATGCTATTCAAGACAAAGATTTGGTTTTAGATGCTCTTCCATTGTATGGTGTTGCTAAAGAGATATATAAATTACTAAAGGCTAAAAAGCTTTTACCATACTCATTATTTATAGAATGCTTTTGTCTAAACAATTGAAACAGGCAGCAAATGTATGCAAGATGAAACAGAAAGCTAGAATGGTCCATTGGCATATGGGACAATTGCTCAAAGTATACAAAAGGAAAACCACATAATTCACCATAATATTGGATGGATTGGTAGGATTTTTCCGGTTAGTCACATAAAGATGCCTAGATTTTAGGTTTGGTTATACTACTATGTAGATTCACTAGAGAGTTTCTGGCTTGCCTGTATTAAAATTCATAGGCTCCCTAATCCGGATGAGGTTCTTCATGATCACTTTGTATTCCATGGCTAAAGAGCTATACATATGAGTTTTACAAGTGTCAAACAACTTGATTTAAAGTTAAATTTTTACAGCATGCTTTGGTCTAAAACGAAGACAGAGAAAAAACATATATAGATGTGTGGAAAAAGAGAAAAGCTATAAGACTCCATTTGCTTATATGACAAATAGTAGGCAAACTATATAGTTTTCCATGATATTTCAAGTAAGTTGTATTAATGTTCCTCTGGTTTATACTACTAACTATATTCACTTTCCCTTAGTTACTTGGTTGTTGATCTCATGGATCACAGTTTCCCACACCCTTATAAGGTCCCTCAGAATTCCTAAATAAATTATGGCTAAAAAGCTATTTCAATCAACAAGTGTGAAACAACTTAATCTAAAACTTATGTTATACAGCATGCTTTTGTCACAGTGGATACTGATACAGTAATGGAAATGAGCTAAAAGAGAAGATCTGTGAGACATGACATCTGCACGAGCAACTTCTAAAAGTATGTAATAAGCAACCCATTCAATTAAACTTAACATTGAGATTAATTGCCATGATATTTCTATGAAAGTTCATGCTCTTTAGCTAATTCAGTATCTGATCATGCATGTCCTAGAAATGAGGTTCTTATATCTCTTTCTTACCATATGTTTACCATATTTATGCAGATTTCAAAGATTTCATATGTCTGATAATGAATAGGAACACAGCCTTAACTGGGGACCAACAGCCATTGAATTTAAAACCAACGTGGCAAGTCTTTATGCATAATAGAACAGCTAGTGTTTGATTGATGACTTTGACCAACCAAAATTTAAGGAGTTAAACCCCAAATAAGCAGACATGTAATCCAAAGTTCTCAGGTTTTTGGTGGCAAGTACAAAAGACAAACCATATTATATAGGGTGTGGATAAAATTCAGTGGTGCGAATGTTTCAAACCAAGGGAACTTATTTTAGCTATTTTAAAAGAAGTAACATGTAATGTACTGAAATTTAAGCAATAAATTGGGAATTTAAATTGCAAAGCAAATACTTCTCTGATTCTTTTACAGTTTTGCATTGTTTTCCATTTGTTTTAATCTTCATTACAAGAATAACTGCAGGATTTTCTTTAGAAAATGGAGAATGGGATAAAAGAAAACTGAGTATTAAATAAAGTGAAAAAACTTATAGGTATAGAAACGGCACAAGTAATAGACTGTTGAATGTATTTAATACAATCATTATTTAGGCCATAGAAGAAAACAATCATAGCAAAACTATCTAATCTCATAGCTTAATGCCAAAAAAGTGAGTGCAATTATAACTATTTGATTTAAAAATCTATTTTAGCATGAAATAACAGCAACAAACATGTCAGCCATAGATAGGTGTGTCTATACATGAACTGGACATCCCATCAAGAATAGAACCTACTTGAAGACCAACCTAAAAGATTCCATTGACATAATACTTACCAAGGGCGATCTTCCATCATAATCCGTTTTGTTAGGATCAGCTCCAGCCCGGATCAAACTTTTGAGCTGATATAAATCTCCATGATATGCAGCACAATTCACTCTCAAAGCTAGTTCAGCTTCTTGCTTTCCAATGTGAAATGAGATGTCTGATTCTAGTTGCTTAACTCGAAGATTGGATTCTTTTCCCTGCGAATTTAGGTAAAATGCCAGTCCAAAAATGTGTTAGTCAACTTTTGCCTAATTTATTTTGAAATGACTTTCTCATCAAACAATGATACCCAGCCTGCATACACTTTTCTCCAATAAGAGGAGCAAAAACATTTTAGAAGCAACAGAGATATGACACAACAAGATTACCTCCAAAAGATTGTTCAAAATTTTCCTTCCATCATAGAAATATATCTCAAGGATATTTGAAAATGATTGCTTATCCAGTCGCAGAAGCCTACATAATTCACAAACCCGAACAGTATAAGGCTGAGGGATGTTGCAGAGAATAGAAATTTCCCCAAACGAGCTGTTGGGTTGCAGAAGCGAAACAGTCTCTTCTGTTCCATCTTCCCCTATAGCAACCTCCTCCTATACAAAGTTAAGCACCAATTAATCAATTATGAGAACATTGAGATCAGAATGCAATAAAATTCTACGGCTGCTATATAATAACAAGGTATTGAGGAATGACAGTTACGACAACAGGGATACGACGGAGCACATTTATAACATTCTGTGGCATGGAAAATATTTGGAAGCCAATTCCAGCAAGTAAACACCAAGTGGACAAAGAGTAGCATCTTCAGGTTAACAAATACATGATCCGCAACATGCAAATATGTTTTCATGCATAGGAGAAAATGGCCTAGGAGATGTCTAGGAAAAGGTACAAGTAGGGAAAGAAGAAACAAAAGCATGTAATTAACGAAATGGATTTGATTAACCACATAATAAAGGCGTAAGGAATCATACCAGCACACCATGACAGACAAAATAAAGTTGATCTACCACATTTCCCTGTTCCATTATTACTTCACCTGGGAGAAAAAATTCTTCATGGAGTCTAATAACCTGCAAAACAAAAGACCCAAGTATTAACTTTATAACTGACAGTTATTTCCTTCTTTTTTATGTAATTGTGAAAGCAGAATGTGGATACAGCCACAGAGGGAACAATCTAATTATATGTCTCTCATATTATAAGATTATTGAGTGCAAGAGACCAATTTACCTAGAAAAAAAAATTATAGTAGTGCTGTTTCAAATAAGCTTTTGGAACAGCGCTCCTAATGTTGGACATAAATACTATATTCTTGAAGCAGTGAAAACTGAAATGTGATTATCTGAGGACAGATATGCATGCATACAGGCTTAGCCCATATGAGAATGCATTTTTCAGGGCCCGGCGTTTCATGTCATATTATTGTACAGATATGTTGAATCATGTCAACTAGGCATCTTATTTTGATGAAACATAGTGCAGACTAAGTTGAACACAACCAAGCAAAAATGACCTTTGTGCTGCATCAACAAACATGTATTACCAAATCTCGAAGCAACAATATGAATTTCTCATTTTAAACAGCTTGAGACCCATTATTTGAGAACAGAAACTGACTTACAATCTGATTGATGAATTCTGTTGAGCATCCCTTGAAAAGAGAAACATTCTCAATGTATGGCGTATATAAAGATTGAGAAATCTGCAAAACCAGAAACAGAACAGAAAGCATTGAAGGAAAAGAATCAACAAGAAACATATTGAGCACAAGGGAAAATACCAATGAAGAAAACATCCAGAATGATAGATATGATTGTAATAATATATTTTCCTAAGTAGAAAAGACATTATTCAAGTCATTATGATTGAAATAGTACAACTACATAACAATACATTTCACTCACAAGTAAAAAACAAAGGTTTTGTCAGTTTAATTTGTAATAAAAACATCAGATCTATGGATTCATCTAATACTTCAAAGACCGATATCAATATAGAAGAGTAAGCTAATTAATTTAGCATTGAAACAAGTTAATAGCCTAATTTATTATTAGCAAAAAAAAGTCGTTTACCAAGAACAAATTGAGGTAGGTGCTTCCTTTGAGATCTAACATATGAAGGACACCAATTTCTATATATCTTAATCTGATAAAGAAGAGATGGTTTTCTGCCAGTTTATATATTCTTACAAATTATTTAGATGAGATGTTAGAGAGAAATGCTAGAATATTTTTTATGATTCCTTAATTGATGTAAGGAGCTTATATCTCTGACTCAGGAATATGACCATGGTTCAGTGCCTGTAGCTCCTTTCAGCCTTCAGGAGCTCGACACCCCACATCAAAGTAGTGAGGGTAAATTTTTGAGTTTTGAGCAGCTTAAGCTCTTTCAAACATGTTCACCATATTAGGACATGGGTCACTTCCTCCCTAATCTCAGTTCACAAGTAGGCAGGAATGGAAAGCAACGGATAATGGATTTTCTTCTAAAAGTGTCGTGGGAATTTCGCTGCAAATGAGAAGACATTTTATCTTTTCCAATAGAAGGCTGGTCAAGATTGGAACATTGGAATTTTCTTCATTTAGATTGATTTTGTTGTTCCTTATTTTGTTTCCAATTAAAGTGGCATTTATGCTAACAGAATTAATAAAAAAACAGTTGACTGGATACTATCTGTACATTACCTTAGCTCGGATAGAGATGGGAATATCCTGAAGAACAGCTGTTTCAGTGTAGCGACTTTCATACTGTAAGCGAAAGTGGCCCTTGATCTGATTACGGATATCCCTCTCAAGTCTATTTCCGTTCATATACTTAATAACCTCTGCCATTTTATCCCTGAACTTCTCAGTCTTGGATCCTTTTACGATTAAGGCTGTCATGTTACCAATCAAATAAGCGCCAAGAATCATGTCAAAGGAGACATATATCATTATGAATATCATTTCCCTCATATTGACAGCATGTATATCTCCATAACCTGTCACAAAGAGAAGTAAGAATGGACTTAAAACCAAACAGAAAAAATATATGCTGCAGCCATCGAAGTGTGGAACACTAGCAATTCTCGGTGAAGATAAATAAACAGAGCATATGGAAAATTATGAATGATTAGAAATCACACATATAATTTCTGTGTAAGAATATCTAGAGAACAATGCATATTACCTTAAATATGATGAAGCAAAGGATGATAAGCATAATACATAAGTAGTTATATCATTCCTCCATCAATCTCAATTAAATCAATATAAAAGTAATCTCATGTATGTGCAAGATAATCTAAGCTATACTAATCAAGCGTAAAAAAAAAATCCTAAAATTCGACAAATTCCTTTTGTAGTTTTTTCTTTTACTTTGAACCCTCTTCCCATGGAATTAAAGTGCCAACAGAAAATAAAAGAAAGAAAACTGCTCCTTATAGACCTAGAGCAAATCTGTAGTCTATACCATTCATCAACCACCAGATAATTCCAATAATATGATTCCAAAAAGGGAAACATTTGTCTTTCATACCTTGAATAACACTATAACAACACCTGACTTTAACCTTTTTTGTCTCGATACCATGAAGAAGAATTTACCTTTTTATTCACATGAAATTAAAGAATTTGAAACACAAAACTTGGCAACCATATAACTCAAACACAGAAGTGTATACTACCTTTCAAGTGCCTCTATAACAAAGGTCTTTATTCAGTTTTTGGCTCTACTTGAACAATGTTCTCAGATGTTAAGCTGTTATAGAAATTTTACCAGCTTTCAGAAAAAAAAAAGGAACACATAAAAAATAGTAGTAGTTGAAAACTGTGAAGCCTGCAGTTTATGAAAGCTGAAATGTCACATTATTCAGCCACCACAGAATAATTAATTCTGAATTAATTTCAACTAGGGGGATCCTTGTCTAAGATCATGAATAACAGATAGCCAAATTTTAAATTTTTAATTAAGATCTATAAATAAGAGAAACCTTCACATCACACCATTTTCCTAAAAAGCTAAAAACTGTTACACACTCTTTTTCACCATAGCTTTATAAGTAAATGCATGAAAGAAATTAGCCATGTGCTATGTGTAAATGGAAAAACAAGGATGATATTGAGGTGAGACTCATTTGGAGATTATAATCATTTATTGTGTCGAATGCTCAACTATTGATGAATTTCATGATATTCACTAGCAACAATCAGCATGACCATTTACTTTATGTTTCCTGCAAAGATCCATGTCCCACCATCCCATAATATAGATACTTGAAGCAAAACATGAAAATAATATTTATAATCAGATCAATGCAATAAGATGCAAGCCTTCCACTAGAGTATAAAGGGAATACTAGTTCCTTATTGAAAAGCTAGCTACTAGAGCATACCAAATTCTGTTAAACTGTCATTGTTAGATTCATTCAATTTCTACCAACAAAAAAATTAAAAAAAGGAGACTATATATTGTTAGAACTAATTAGATGATATACATTACATACAGATTCCTCATAATTAATTCTCTCCAATACCATCAAAGACCCAAATGCTATAATTAAGTCACTACTCTATTGGACCTTCAGCCACTTATGGCAAGTTACTACCTTCAACATTTAGAACATAAATTTAAATCTCATTTACGAGACTCCTATCTTCCTTTCCTTGTGATCATCACATAATTAAATTGAACATGCATGCACTTTTCATACTATTTGATAAAGGATTTTGCCAACAAGTGCCCTAAGTGCACTATTTAAAGTTACTATATAAAGTAATATCTTCACCCTATGCATTGAAAATCATTAATAAAGTTGTCAACTATTGCATTTAATACAAAATTACTACTATACATAGTATATTAACTAACCTTAAAAGGTTCTCCAAAGGCACTCACTAGCAAACCCTTTGATTAATTGAGTAGAGGCAGGAGAAGATATAGCATGATATCACTTCTACCATAAGAGCTTGCACTAACATTAATTCTTTATGTAATTTATAACTGTAGCAAATCAACACCCTGTTCAAGATATATAAAATTTATAAAATCCCTCATGAACACCAAACAAGACATATGCTTTACCCATAGATTAAATAAAGCTATTTTCATTTCGAACAACATACCCACATTTTTCTTGAAGTTATAATTGTATACTTGGTTGATCCCAGCCAGAGAAACATAAAATTACTAAGGCTAGGAAATTTAAAAAAAAAAAACCCTCAGTAATATACAGGATAAAGAAATTTAAATGGGTTACTTACCAAGAGTAGCCATTGTGACAATAGCAAAATACATGGAAGTTGTGTACCGCTTCCACAGATCAATTTCTCTGAAGTGTGCATAACTGTAATCTCCCAACTTTAAGCTTCCAATCCATGTGTACCCCTCTTTTTCAGGAGGCAGTGTGGTAGCCAAATAGTAAAAGATACAAGCTGCTGTATGTGTGCAATAGAGTTCAACAAAAATAAGTTTTATAATCCTTGTGAAAAGGTAATTAATTCGTATATCCTTCTCCATCTTCTGGAAGAAATCAGTGAGTTTGTGAACCCGATATAACCTAATCCATAAGAGATACCTCACTACTTCTTTTCTTCCACAAGCCTGCATGAAAGAAATTTCTCAAAATGGTTATTACAAAGCGTCAACTATAAATTTACAGCTCAGAGTAATCATTTAATACATGCAGATTTAGTCATATCCCTGTTTTCCTTTTCTGAAAAGATTTCATGCATGGTATATTTTAAGCTGTCTAAGAGGGACTGTCTTTAGGAAACAATGCATTATCTAGTTCAAAACTTTTGATGTACATATATTTTAACAAACATTATCACCAATGTAAGGTTAAGTTATGTGTCTAACTAACATGCACAAGGATAAAACAATCTAATTTTAGAAAATACACAAGGGAAAACCATAAGGGTGCGAAAGAGTAGGGGGTTGTGGGTGTTTGAGGGGCCAAATATCAGGATCAGAACCTCTTTATATGGGTCAAATATAATTTCAGAGTTATTACAACAGCTTTCCTAATTTGATCATTGTAATAATAGAAAATATTCACAATGAAAATGTAATCATAATAAAAATTTAATTGATCCATGGTAAAAAAAAAAAAAGATTATATTTTGTAAAATATAGGTTGGGATACACATAGTGACAAAAACCACAAAATTGTTGATAGCATTATAAACAGTCAAAATTTTGGAAAGAACATGCATAGGCAAAGAAAGGTAAGATCCTTACAAGTTCTTCTTTACTCAACGAGATGTTATTATCAAATTAAAAATAAATAAATAAAAACTAAATAGGAGGGGGCGTGGGCGGAGGAAGAAAATAATACCTTGTAGATAATATCCCAAGGCATACAACCAAGTAAATCAATGATAAAACTAGATTTCAAGTACCTGTAATGATACATTAGGGAAGAAAACCAGCATAAGGCTCAGTAGCAGCTGCAGTGACATGTGGTAATGCAAGGGTGAAAAAAAAAAGAAAAAACATACTTAAAATAAATATAGAGCAAAATGTCCACCGCATTAGTACTAGAATATTGATACACTTTTGTGAAACAAGAAACGGGATCCATTAGCTTGAATGTACCTTTACGATATAAACTAACAACATAATAAAGCAGCTTAAATTAATTGTTTCAAGCTAAGAGGAAACCTTTTACTTTCTATCAAATGTTATTAGTTCCTACAAGTAGAAACAACTTGTTGAAATCGAAAGAATGACCCTTCGTTTACTAATAATCATACTTAATTGATTAAGATCATGAGAAAATAATTAAAATGTAACAGAAATAGGAATTATAGACGTTCAATGTAAAAAGTAAAAACATGAGAAAAGAGAAACTGACCGAATAGCGATAGAGGTTTGCTTACAGACCATTCGATAGGTCTGGCTGTCCCTATATGCAAGGAAGAAGTGCAAAATAATATCAAGAAGAAAAGCTACTTGTCCTGCGATGTCTAGTATAAAAAGATTTTGTGGCAATCCCCTGAAGAACCCAAACTCCATGGGAGTAAAGAAGGAAGAGTACAGTGCCCATATTAGTATGAACTTGGTCCATGCTCGATACCACCTGCATTTTATTTTATATTTTACCATTAATCTTCTCTCGCTCAACAGGCAACACACAACCATAAATGCAAAAGAAAAAAAAAAAGCACCCTTTTGGTGCTGAGTCCTTTGCGTTTTTTTTTTACCGGTTTAGAAACAATTCAATAGTCCCACTTCCGTTAAAACAGAGCATTTGTTAGGAGGTAATTCTTTAGTGATTTGCATTCAATCATTATATTATTTTATTTGATAATAATTTAAAATTTTTATGCAATAGTAATTTTAAATTATTAAGATGATAAAATTTTTGTTTTAAGGACTGATTTAATTTTTTATCTAAAAATAAAAAAATTTTATTATCATAAAAAAGTAATTTTTAATATTATTTTTTATTAATTTATTTTCACAAAAAATATAATTAATGTTATCTTAAAAAATTGATCACTAAAAATTAAAAAATAACTAGTTTTTTAATCACTTATTTTAAACAAGTTTTATGTCATAAAGTTAAATGGACTAAAAAAATAATAAATTTACTTAATAATTTTTTAGAAATTATTTTTATTAAAATTGATTTATATTTTATAGTTTTCTTTATAAAATAACGATTAATTATTTTATAAATTGTTAATTAAATAAGTATTAAATATTTTTTTATTTTTTTAAAGTTATTTTAAATATTTTTTACTTTATGATTTATTTTTTATATATAATATCAAATATAATGATTTAAAAGTATTAGTGATTTATAATAAAGTATATATTTAATGCATTATCTATATATTTTTAATGATAATATTTTATTAATGAGTAAATATCAATTGTTAAAATAAAATGTACATAAATGAATTTTTTTATATTATAAATTCTTTATAATATTATACTAAACAGGATAATCTAATATCACTAATGATCAAACCACATTGATAATCTTATTACTATAGTAACTAAATCATGATGATCATCTTAAAAATGATACCAAATATTACCAAAATGTACACGACTATTTTTATATTTGCGTAATCTATTTTGATTTAAATATATATAATATAAAAATTATATATTAAATTTATTTTTAACATATTAAATATAAAATATATTTTTTAATTTTTGTCAAATTTTCATATTATAATTATTATTAAAATTTGAAATCATATCAATTTTTTATTTTTTATATAATTTTCATATTATATTATATTATATTGTGATGTTTAAAATTATTAGATTTATAAAATATAAAAATATTTATAAAATTATCAATTATTATCAACTTGCATTGATGTTAAACTAATTTATTTTACATCATTTTTATAATTTTATGCATTGTTAATATTTTTATGAATCAATATTTGGATTTAACTTTTTCATACTCATATACACATAAAATTTCAAATTAATATGTTATCTTCTTATTTTTAATTTGCAAATATATATTTTGGAATATATAATAATAATTAAAATTTTATTATTATCAAATAAATAATTAAGATTTTAATTAACTTAAAATTTAACAAGCATGATTTCCATGAATAAAATATAAAAATATAAACTTAAATTAATTTTACTCTAGATAAATGGATCCTCTTTTATAACATTTATTTATACCAATTATGATTAGTACGACAAAATAACATATATTTTCAATTAATCATTCATTATCACTTATTAACTTTGATTTTTGTCCAAACACATCTTTTTTAAGTATCTACGTATTGGTTGGTGTCATCTCTATGTCACTGGCCCAAAAAATAAAAACTTGCCATGTGATCACACTGTCACGCAAGCAACAGCATCATTAGCAAATTCTACACGTCAACTTAGCTTGTTTTTCTATATGCAATTTCTTTTTGTTTTAGCGTTGCAGTCAAACTGTTGGCCGTGGTTACCTTCACTACACTTAGACAGAAACTAAAACATGAATTTCAGCCGTGAGATCATTTGACTTTTAAAAGTCAAAATCAGGTACCACGAAAGCTTGAACACCTGTGACGAAACGACTGAACCCAATTACGTTCCGCCACGCGTAAGGCAGAGGCGGGAACCAACGACGGCTCCTCTCCTCTCTCTCTCTCCTCAAAACTTAAAAATTAAAACTGTCGCCGATTCAAATCCTTTTTGTTTATCGTTTAAATGGAATGATAAAAATGGCAGTGAATTTGGAGATGGATTACCTGTTGTCGGGATGAATGGAGAGGCCGTTGGAGAGGTCTTTGAATCCGTAGATTAAAGATTGACGACTGAACTTTCTCCGAGCACCAGCAGCGGCCAAACCAAACTCATTGGCTATGAGATCAAATCTGCTGCCTCTTGATGACTTGATTCCTTCTCTCAACTCTTCTATCTCGTACTCTGTTTCCTCGTTTGCAATTGCATCCCTCTTATCTCTTTCTCTTCTACTTCTCCTAATATCTCCCATTCCTCCCCACAGCTGGCAGAATCAATGCATTTTCCTCAAATCATTAATTCCATAAAAAATCAGATAAAACAGAAAAGTATCCAAAGCATTAAAGAATCAACAAAGTTAGGGCTAACCGTAAACGTAGGCTTTTGTTTTTAGAGATTGATGAGATGAAGAAAAACAGCCTGATTCGGAGTTTCAAGATTGAGATAAATTATTTGTTATTATTATTCCAGCAACTCCTCAACTTACCAACAGATTTAAAAAGAAAAAAATGTGTAAAAATAGAGAGATAATTGCAAAAAAAAAATAAAATAAAATGGTTTTGTTCGTACGGGTTTAGGGTAAAGAAGCCAAGATACAAGGAATCAAAATTTATACACAAAATCTTTCCTTCTTTACTAAAAAAAAAAAAAGGTTATCGCTCTAGGATTGCTAATACAATGCAACGTGTTTGAGCGATTTGAGGTGCCGCAATTTTTTTTTATTTTTTTTATTTTATTAGATAATTTGATTGAGATTGTAAGGTGGCGGCTGTTCAGCAGCTAATATACGGTTGTCTTTTTTAGTCTTGTTTGTTTGTTTATTTGTTTTTTTAATAAAACAATTAAAATAAATATTTTTTTATATTATTTTAATACATTTAAGAATTTAAATTTTAGATACCTTCACAAAAATTAAACCTCAATGATTAATTAGAAGAGAAACTATTCATTTACGGATTGGAGTAATCTCTATGAATTAATTAGTGTTAGTAATAGATATATAATAATTAATTAATCCTAAGAAGACTTTTAATTTTAAAAAATCCAAAAATTAAAGAACAACTTGTAGTCGTGTACCATGCATGTAATTATATAATGATAAGAAACCAAACATTGTGTAAATATAATAATCACTATTAATTAATGTTGTATTCCATGACAAATTAAAGTATTTATTTGCCAGCATAATATGTTGAATGTCTTTTTTTTTTTTAATACCTAACAAGTAAATCAATTTGGTCCGTCACCAATATATATAAAAATTAATTTGTTTGCTATAGGTACAGTATATAATAAGTTATCTGGTAACTTATATAAATAATCTTGCTTTTTACGTTATACATATATGTGATTAATTGTTGTTGATAAGCACGATTTCCTTTGACTATGAATTGTTATGGTCGGATTATTAAGAGATAAAGTTATTAAGAGAAACTATATCAAGCCTGGGAACGGATAATATCTCATTACAAATGTAATTCAATAATCTTTACATCAACAAATAACATCGTCCGTAAGATAACACTGATACAATAATAGTATTTTATTAGGTATAGGACAGTTAATGCAGCAAGCAGTTCAAATACTCTAGTTTCCATCAAAACTTGCTTTTCCACAAGGTTCAGCTGCTTGTCCTTTAAGCTTTAGCAAGCAAATTAAAATGCAGCCACACACACACAAAGCAATTGAAGGAAGAAAACAGAAACCTCAACATGTGATTGTCATTGACATTTTCAAGGGGGAATGACATTGACATAAAATAAAAGTGAAACGAAAAGGAGCAAACTAAATGGTCAGCCAGCACCTTTTTTGTTTGTACAACTACAAGTAATTAATGTAATTTTCACTTTTCAAATATCTGCCATATTTGAAAATTCAAATGATGAAATTTCCTTTAGTTTTCCAATGCTAGGAAATGATTTTCTGACATAAGGTAAAACATGCAGATTGGAGCTGAAATTATCTTTGTAGTCTGTTGAAGAGAAGTAAAATTAGAAATTGAAGGGAGAGCAGCAACTAATTTCTGACAGTTGGTTCTGGATATGTTCTATAATAACGCATAGGATACTATTTCCCTGGATCCTAAGAGCATTTGCAATTTCTTTATTAGGGAAATCACTGCCCTCCATGACCCATATTTCATCTGCAGCCGATATCTTACCTGGCCCATAACAGTATTACATTTCCTGAGGACCTCTTTTAAGAGCTGTGATCTTTCTAAGTGACAGCTTCTACACTTGTTGGATTTTGGGGAATTTATCTTCAATACCCTATGAATCAATACGTATATTGTAATAAAATCCAATAAGGTGCTAGCTGTGGTGCTTGGTTGTGGGAATGATTCTTTGATCCATATTGCTAACTGTTTCAAATACAGCATTGAGGTTTCCCTTACGAGTTAACTGTGCAGGTGATACTGGTAAGCTGGTTGACTCCTTCCTATATATCTGAGAAGATAATGAAATTGAAAGAACAAATTGCAAAACTTGAAACACATGAAGAGAGGTGAGTGGTGGAAACATTTTTGTAGTTATATTTATTGTTCATGACTTGGATTTGTTATTGCTGATGTCACATCTTCTGTCTTAGGTTTAGGGCAATTGACAGATCAGACACCTTACACTTAGATACATAAGCATACACAACACCGGTGCTTGAGTTTGAGCAACATGGATTTTGCATCAATTCTTACCACTGCTACGGTTTGAGGCACTGTTTTTGAAAGATTGTGTTTCTCTGAAGGCTTTAGGTTAGTCCTTAGAGAGGTGAGATGAGATAATTGAGTGAAATTTATGTTGTGTACCAAACTTTTCTGACCAAGGCCAAGAACTAAGCTCTATGATGAATAAGTGATCCACTATGCAGACTAGCAGACTTATTTCCATTAGTCCCATTCCATTTCCCTACAGGAATGTCTTTTACTTTGGGCCTTTTTTTTTTTTTAATATAAATGCTAATCTTTTCTGAACAAAATTGCTTATGATCATAGCATGGACTCATAGGTGATTATTTTTGGGATGTGGAACAAACTAATCAAACCCTAAATGTGCAATGGACAAATCATTTTTTTGTGTTTTATAGCAGTTTTCTTTTCTAACCGGCTTCGTTGGGAGATATTCTTAGAAATGAACCAATCATTTATTGATCCATATTACCAGCTTTCAGTTTGGCTAGTTCTTTTTTTATTTTTTATTTTTAAAAAAGGAAGACAACAGATATTAAAGGTGGAGAAACTGCAATTGCATTTCCATAGGCCCTGCAAATGCATCTCATTATTCTTTTTAAATTGATTTATGATCCAACAGCCAAATTTAAACTAATGTTGCTTTATGATCCAACAGGAAAATGATTATACTGCTCAGCCTGAGATATTCCATCAGATAACAAGTGTAAATTTTTCCTTCAATGCTATGATATGTGCTGGGTATAGGAAAACTGGAATCAGAAATGAAAGGAACTTGTGAAAATGTGGCTTTATGGCTTTGTCTTGTTAAATAAATGTTTATGAGTGCAATGTTAGGAAGATCAGCACTTGTCGAGTTCAAGGTGAGAAAAGTGACATTGCTAGAGGCTCTAGTATTTACCACATATATGCATAGCTAGGGGTATAATCAAACTGATCTGAGCCAATACAATGCCAAGCTTGAGCTTGGCTCGTAAACAATTGAGCTACTTCTGCTTGACTTGATTAGGTTTGATTATCATCAACTTAAGTAAGAAGCTCAAAAGTAGATTTGATCTTGAGCTTGGATTTAAGAATAAAAAAACAACTTAAAATATTTTATTTTACTATATATACATAAAATATTAAAAATTTATTAAACATTTATGGGTTTGATTAAGCGTGCGAGTCAATCAAAATCAAATATATAAACCATAAACTCGACAGAGCTCATTATTTGAGAGGCTTTAGCTCAAGTTTGACGAGACAATTAAGAAGTATAGCTTAAGTATATATATAAATCGAGCTTGAATAGATCATAGGTAGCTTGACTCTACATGTGAACACAATACAAGGTCTATTAAAATACTTGATCTAGCTGGAGTATTTTTTTTTTATTATTTTTATAATTAATATTGTCAAAATTTAAATTTTGATAACTGAAATTAGGAACTCAACACTTTATCAATAGATTATACGACTATTCATCAAATGGAGTAGATAGTTACTGCATTGGCCTAAATTACAATAGTTCTAAGTAAATTTTCTTGTGATACCCTATTTCAAAATCTTGTTAAGTAAAAGATGTATATGAAATTGATATGCGTAATTGGCCTGGTGCCAAGAAGAGTTATGACTTATATTAAGGAACGTTGATAAGTTGAATTCGATTCCAGCCTTCACTGCTAATCTAACATTGTAATCTTTTAATAGGCAAACTCTTTCTTAAGATAAATCTACTAATATTAACTCATTTCTGAAACTCATTTTCATTGATTCCTGTTCGTGAAGGGTGAATTTTCAAGATTGACGAAGGGGATTTAGTTTTGAAAGTGAAATGTCCAGTTCATGACTGGATTAATGGAATATGTAAATGGGATGAGATTGGTGTTGCATTGAGTCAATTTTGGAATTTAGATGGATTGTTTCATCTAACACTAACATTGTCAGATGATGATAAACAATCACTCAATTCGATTTTAAAAAATCAAAACTTTTTTAAAAAATAATCAAATTAATTGATTAAATCGATTTATTAACTACAATGATTAAAACTGGTTACCAAGAGGCTTGAGGTGATAGGTAGAGCAGAAGTCACATATCAATGATAAAAGGTTGTGTTCACAAAAACACAATGGGCCATTGGATAAAAGCTGCCAATTGTAACGGTGTGCTCAACTGGTAAGTGGCGGTGGTTAAAAATAAATGCCATTACATTTCATTCACAGCTTTTTTGACTTTCACCAGCATTCAGTTTCTTCGGGTCTATCACTAATAATTGCCATCTTTGCTTGGAACATGGACGGATCAGAATTAGCTAAAGGGTAGTGGAAACTGAGTCTAAATGCTTAAGCGCTTTCTACAATCTGGAAAATTTTCCTCTGAATTCAATGCATTCGCTTATCTATATATTGTGTGACATACTTGATTCATACATTTGGTCAAATTTGATCACTTATAATATTAGAGGTGGCAACTGTATTAGTTAAGTTGAATTTGTGTCACTTCAGATTGAGGTTTTTTTTTATAAAAAATAATTCGAGTTATTAAAGATTATCTCATATTTGACATTCAATTATTCGGAATCGGATAATTTTATATTTAAATTATTAAATATTAAAATTAAATCAATATAATTTAAAATTCTTTCGAGTATTAAAATATTAAAATTTTGATTCAATTCAATTATTTTCAGATAAAAAATAAATTATTTTAAATTATTAATTTTTTATATTCAAATTAAATTAATTCGAATTCCTATAAATTAGATGAATTATTAGATTCAATCAACTTTACCAACCCTACTAATTATCGTTATGCCTACTCTTAAAAAGGGAATTATTTCGATTTTGCTTTTCAACTTTACTGTCACATTGCCTATGGTCTACTACCTTGTAGCTTTTCCAACTTTCACGATTGATTTAATTTGATGGAAAAATTAACATTATTCAAAAAGTTCATATCTTTGAAGAATTTTATGAACAATCTCACTTTCTTTGTACTACCCACCAACTTTCATTATGAGCGAAATATGTTTTACAGAAAAATAATAATAATAAGGAAACCAAGAAGTCCAAG